TCAGTTTTCTGCAGCATAAGTTCTGCTCTTTACTCCCTCAATGTGCTCTTAAATTCTGCTTCTGTGTTTTTCCAGTTCCTCATTATCTTGTACATATCCCCCTTTCATCTCATCTCAACTTTTAAAATGACTTGTTTTGTTTCATATATGACATAACTTTTACACTTTACTAAAATTTTCATTTAGATCATACATTTAATGATATTTAGAGCTATGCTTCTCTCTAGGTCTTCTGGGTGCTATTTTCCCCTCTTGTTCTGTAGTTTGTATTGAGTTTTGTTTCATATTGACATTTATTCTCAACCTTGGTAAAAATAACATCTATCTAGATTTAGTGTTTACCGACAAGTAGGGAGATTACTTTGGCCTATGTGCTTCTTTGTGCAGAGATCAAATCCCTTTCTCAGATCCCTGTTGGAAGAGGGAAGGTTCATATCCACAGGACCTAGAGAAATTTCTATTTTTCTAGCAAGCATGAATCCAGTGAGGGCTTCTCCTTTATTGCCTAATTTTCTGGGGTGTTAAAAAGCGTAATTAAATTTCCTAGGATGCTCCATGCCATTTCTAATTGTGCCCACTCTTAACCCCTCCCCCTACTTCCTGCCCCGTTATTTTCTAGGAGTTACAGACCCTGCAAGGATATAGGGGAATACCAGTAGAGGTGGGAAGGAGTAGTTTCGGGAGTTCAGAGATCTCCACACTGCACCATGCAGTGTTCTAAGCATTATAGAGGGATGATTTCTCAAAGCAGACCTTACATGTCTGTCTAAGAAGCATGTTATATTGCGAGGTTATAGTAGACTTTTCCTACCTTATTTTACGTGGTCCTTTTTTCATAAAGCAAAGCTGGTTAATGCCATGTCCATATTTCATGTAATTGTTACTAGTTTATCCCAGATTTTGGCATTAGAGTGTATGACAGCCTTCATTTCTAATGACCTTATGAATTATCTTCTTTTAATATGTTATCATTAATATTTCTGTGTAAGATTGGGAGATACTGGGTAAGTATTAACTAGACACTTTTTTTAAAAACATTTAATTGGCATATGTATATAGGATTTTGCTAATTAAAACTTGTTGTACAAATGTAAAGCATTTTTCCCTTTACTTTTTTTTTTTGGCTTTATTTATTTATTTTTGGCTGAGTTGGGTCTTGTTGCTGGATGTGGGCTTTCTCTAGTTGCAGCAAGCGGAGGGTTACTCTTCACTGTGGTACACGGGCTTCTTATTGCAGTGGCTTCTCTTGTTGCATAGCATGGGCTCCAGGCATGCGAGCTTCAGCAGTTGTGGCTTGCAGGCTCTAGAGCGCATGCTCAGCAGCTGTGGCACACGGGCCCAGCTGCTCTGTGGCATGTGGGATCTTCCTGGACCAGGGATCGAACCCGTGTCCCCTGTATTGGCAGGCGGACTCTTAACCACTGCACCACCAGGGAAGCCCTAGACACTTTTTTGAATGAGAACTCTCACTTTCATGTATGTTACAATAAGTGCATAATAGATTTTGTCTAACTAGTTGAACATGATGTATAACAATAAGGCTTTGTGACTCTTGTGTTTTAAACGTTACTTATAGGAAACATTGTTTTTCTATGATGGGATTAAAATATCACCTATGACAAATATCTCTATAAGCCTGCTTTGTATAGCCTATAAATGTCTACCTTAAAATTATTTTTGAGGTAACCACCACAACTTTAATCTATCTGCCAATCTTGAGGAATATTGCTATCAAATCTTATGACCAGGTACCCCAAAGTGTACATATTCATGGCTGTTACTTCATGTCTGTCCTCAGAATTCATGATTACATCTAACCCAGTGACAGAAACTCCGGGGAAGAGATCCAAGAAAGCAAAATATAAGCCATGCAGAGTACGTTCCCCATCTTTATCAGCTGTTAAAAACATCAGCCTAAGAGTGCCTGATGAGCAGGAGGATATCACAAAAGTGCAAGCTTTTGAAGGCGTTTTCTGATATGCTGCAAATCAAAAAAGTGGAAAGCCAGACTTCAGAATTCATGTGCTTGTTCATCTGAAGTTTAAACTTTGGCCCTGGCCACCTTTGATTAAGATTAACCATAGAACTACAAGACTTTTCATGGTATAAATAAACACACCTGTGGACCAGAGATCACATGTTGCTCAATCTATTGATAAGTAGAAAAATCTGCACATTTATTTATTTTTAGGAGTGTGCTGGAACAGCTTTTATTGATTCCTGAGAACCAGTTGTGTGGGTCTCTTCCGAACTCTGCATTCAGTGACATCACAATGGTAGCCTGAAACTGACCATGTTAGGAGCATTTATGTCATACAGATTGGCAAATGCTATAGTTGGGGCTTTTTTTTCCTCCAGAGAGCCAGTTGTTAAACATTTATTAGCACACCACTATTATTAGGGCCCTTTTTATACTTTCTTTCCTGGTGATTACATGATTATATTTAGTTATTTATATTAAACCTGTCAGCCTTCATTATAGCAATTGACTCAGCAAATGGTATTGAATTTGAATTTTCATAAATTTGCTTTTATACAAGAGCAGAAATGCATATCCAAGCAGTGGTTTTGTACCTTTTTCATAAGGAATTGTTGGTTGTGGCTAAGAATTACAAAAAGGCAACAACTGTAAGCTAGGTCCTCTTTGATTTTTTTTTTATCATTAATCTTTCCAAGCTAAAAGATGCACTTCTATTTCAGTTTTACTTAAGCTTTAATATCAATTAGAAGTTGAATACCTCCATTTACATTAATAAGGGACTTAATTTCATTTTCCCTAGAGTGTGTTTTATAGATGAGTGCTCCTAGCTTAGGGTCCTGCTTCCATTTCTACTCCATCACCTGGAGCATGGAGGCCCTATCACCCTGGAGTACGGGGGCAGGTTGTCTGAGAGGAGCACCCTAAGAAGTAAGGAAGCAGGGGTTCCAGGAAACTGCTGGCCTTGGCACTGCTGTCCCCTCCATTTCTCTCGACCGCCTCTATATTTCTTTCTTTCTCAACCTTTCCAGTCTCTTTTCATCATAATCTAATTGATCGTTCATTGTACTTATTAGGTTGCATTTATATCTCTGACTTTAATTTAAAAAAAGAAACAGTTGATGGGAAAGACAGCTTGTACAGTCATGTGGGTAACCTGGGTGAGAAAGCAATTTGTCATCGCTTTAAATAGATATTTAAAAAAATGCATGTTTAATATTAATTTGAGGACGAGGGAATGTCAGCACCTGTTAAGAATCCTTTGTTGTTTCAACATGAAATCACTATTCTTGTCTCTTCTACAGGACCAATTTACATGTGGTTAGCTGTGAAAGGATCTGAGGACACAGGGTTGAGTTAACTGGCACCTTATTTCAAGTTAATTCAGTAGTATTTTAATGTTCCTTAGAGAAATACTTCTCAAGTTATCATGTGCATATCTATCACCTGGGAATCTTATTAAGAGCAGATTCAGGGAATTCTGATTCAGTCAGTCTGAGGCAGGGCCTGAGATTCTGCGTTGCTAACAAGTTCCCACATGATGCTGATACTGCTGGTCCAGGAGCCACACTTTTGCAGGGGTGGGTGTGAGGGTATGTGTCACATCCCCTTTGGCTCAAATGGAAGGGTCAGTATTTCTATATGAAAAGTGGGTGGGGGGGAATGTTAAGCTGGTTTTCTTTTTTTAAGCTAGTTTTATTTATTTTTACTTACGAATCCTTAAAACATTTTTTGGGGGGTGAGTGGTTTATTGGCCCTCCCATTAAAGAAATTCCTAGCTTATTTTAGATATCTTGCCAAAAACAGAGGTTTATCCTCTTAGGAGAGAATTATATGATTCTGTGATTTTAGAATTTACATTTCAAAGTTCCTGCTTAGAACATGAGATATGAAAGCTCTGATAGGCCTATACTTGTGACTGTTTTAAAAATGACAAAATTTTGATCTACTCAGTGGGAATCGTTGTGAAAAAAGTCTTTTAAAAGGAGTAATAAAGGGCATTGAGACTGAAAAACATGAAACATAAAGCCCACCCTTTGTGTGATGATTTAAAGTGAACACCTAGTTATCTAAATGGTGATATTTCCATAAGAATTTGTTATGATGAGCATGTAAATTTACATCTCCATGTACTAGGGCATTCTGACTTATGACTGTGGGGATATGAAGTTGCCATATATCAAGCAGATTCCCCACCCCACATGCAGATTTCAAGTCTATAAATCTGAGCAAACCACAAACCATATTAGATGCCACAAGCATCTAATATGTGTCCTTGCCAGGTACATATTAGATGCTCAATAATTACTTGTTGGATGAATTGAATCCAAAGGAAACTTACATGCGTAACTTGCTTACCAGCCTGCACAATTTAAACAATACCTGCCACAAGCAAGTGCTTCAGAAATGAATCCTCCCATACTAACCTCTTCAGACCTGGAAGATGAGCAACATTCTTTTGTTGGTCTTTGTGATCTGGTGCTACCTGTATCTACAAAGCTCCCCTCGATCACTTCAGCCAACACTGAGTTTTTCTCATGTAAACACCCACAGCACTTAACCTAGTTCATATTTCTGCCATTTGTACTTTGAAAATATTGCATCTCCAAAAACACTGTGAAATTCTTAAAAGCAGAGATAATGTCCCGTTATTCTTGTGGGTTCCATTGTACGTATCACAGAGCAGGAATTCAATAAAAAATTTATTAAATTGATTTTCCTGCTTTGATAGGTGATTGTTGATAACAGTTTATTTGTTAAATATTTCTGTCACATATTTCAGGCAAGGCTGAAACCTTCCAGACTCAGCCAAACAAAATATGTCATTGCTTTAAGAAATTTTCTTATGACAGCCTTCGAAACCCCCATAATATATCTCTCGATAAAAAAGGCATAGGCATGTTTCTCCAAGGCTCAGCTAGGCATGGTTGTCACTGTATTTCCCCAAGGTAGAGGTGAGAATAGCTTTTGTTATAGTTCCATCAGGTACTTCTGGTTGATATTTTTTCTCTATTTTTTTAAGGGTCAACTGAGCATGATTTTGGCATGATTATTTCAACCAATCAATACTCTGAGAACAACCCTTCTAAATCATGAGGAGACATAAGTAAGTATTTTTAAATGCATTTAATAGCTGATATTCCTGGAAGTTTAATCTGGATCATATCCTCTTCTAGGTGCTTCAGTGAAAGAGTTTATTTTATCTTTGCAGCAGCACTGTGAGCTAAGTAATGTATTACATATAGATATAGCGAGAAACTGAGGCTCAGAGAATTAAAGACTTTCCCAATGTCATGGGGCCAGGAAACGCAGAGCTGGGACTTGGACCCAGACTGTCTCTAAAACTATGCTAATACAATAGCCACTGGCTATATGTGACTACTTAAATTACAAAAAATAAAAAATTCAGTTTCTCATTCACACTAACCACATTGCAAATGCTCAGTAGCCACGTTTGACTAATGGCCGCCGTATTGGACAAAGCAGATATAGAACATTTCCACCACTGCAAAAGTTCTATTGGACAGCACTGCTGTAGTGCCTCTACCTGCTGGTGGCTTGCTGGCCTTGTGCCTCTTGAGGAACTCACCACAGAAGGGCCTGGAAGCTGGAGAGGGCAACTTTTGGACAGGTGTGTGTGTGTGTGTGTGTGTGTGTGTGTGTGTGTGAGAATGAAGACGTGAGCAGTAGAGTGGGTGAGGAAAGGAAGAGCTCTAGTACACCCTGGACCTAGGTTGGTGTCCTCAGTAGGGACTGAGGTCTCCCTGGAATAGACCGTGGAACAGCTGCAGTGGGGGAGGATCTTCCCGTCTCCCCACCAGAGAGGTAGGGAGTCTGGGGAGCTAGTTTAAAGGCTAAGTGGCTGGGCTGGAGAGAGGAAGGAAAAAAGAAGAAAGCTGTACATCAGATAGCAATAACCATCCACCCCCACCTGGACTATGTCTGTCCTAAGGGCCCGCTCCCCCTGGAGAAACACGATTTCACCCAGGCCTCTGGGAGGGCGCTGGAGAAGTGTGCGAGCACAGCATATACTTGACAGCCTTTGACTGACTGACCTCCTTGGGTCCACTGGGGCTTGGATGGCCTGACCACTGCAGAGCCACTATCTGAATTCCTGACAGACTCTCAGGACTGATATTCTGATTGCTTTACACATGCTGACTAGCATCCCAGTACAGACCGACCATCTCAGACACAATGACCACTCCAGATATGCACTGAAATAAAAATGACAACTATGGCTTACACTCAATACGTTCCAGATACTAAGTCTAGGTATTGTAAGGTAGTAAGTATAAGCTGTAGTTATCATTTTTATCTATTTATATTTTATTCATATATATTCTTTGAATTTCCAAAGAATTTTATTGTTATCATCATACATATTTTATACACGAGGAAACAGGCACAGTGACTTGATAACACAGCTACCAAGGGGCAAAGTGGCAGGTGAGCCTGGTCAGCCTAGGCCCTTGGTCCACATTCTTAACTACGCTGAGCTGCTTTGCTGGCCCAGCGCGGATATCACTCCAAGTTGCAATCCTCTATGTGCTTTATCTGTAAAACACTGGGTATTCAGTGTGGCATGGTTTTTGTGTGAGTACTCCAGCTACAGACAGGTATCCACTGAGCTTCTAGAAACTTATTTTGATTTAAAAATACCAACAGTGGTGACAAGCATTTAGTAATTGGCAGAATTTTCATCTTTATTTTATATCAGACTAAGAAGTTCTACCCTGTCCAGTGGTAAGTAATTTTTTACTTATTTTGAATTTTGTATAGTGCTTTAAATAAATATTTATAAATGTATATATTTTTGAGTTTGTCTCAGGGGCAAGAGTTTGAGTTCAATTGTTTATCTCTCCTGATAGCTGTTTTTAGTCACCAACAACTGGGTGCTATTCTCTCAGCAGCATAATCATTAGGTCCAGGAAGCATTATCTGAGAATAATACAAGTAGTAATTAAAAAAGTAGAGTGCAACCATTAATATTCCATTAATTGTTATTAATGTAGGCCTTGCCAGTACGGCTAATATAAAACACAAAGGGCTAATTTTTAGAAAATTAGTACTACAGTGTCATGAACATAAACAAACTGGAAAAACAAAAACCTAGAGGCTTCTTTAGATTGGTTGAGACAGCTGAAAGCTATCAGTTAATTCTACTACATAAGTAACACTCTTGTCAGCAATGTGTTGAAGACCAAAGAATTTGGAAAATGATTAAAAATTGAAGAATGTTCTCTGAGCGTATGGTAGATGTGGCATCAAACTCAACGCCAAACACAAGTCTGTCAAGTAGGGGCAATTTCGTACGTATGAGGTGATTGGGAAACTTAGACCAACTCCAAGTTGCCACATTGGGGGTTTTTGAGTCGTTTCATCAACCTAAATAAGAGGCCAAAACTAAGCTGCAATTTTGGGGAAGTCTATCAGGACCTGAACGAGGCCATGGGTGGAGAACAGATTGCAGCAGTGATAAACCAGTTTGTACTGCATGGGCTCAGATGGGGCTAACCCAAGAGCAAGGACAAGACAAACTTATAAGACCAGCTAAGTTATAGCTTCAGACAAGGCCACTTTGTGTAAGTGTGACTGGGAGGATTCAAAGGCTGAGGGAAGCCTCTGAAAACAGCACTGGTGTTCATAAAACAAATGCCGTCTTCAGTAGTGGTGATGAATCATGTGTGACAGCCACACCCGCATCAGCCCTCAGCCTCATTCCTCAAAGGAGGGTGAATGAGCTAAAGATGTATAATGACTCGTTTCAACTTTAAGCATGTGTAACATTTAATAAGGCTGATGGGGGTTATACCTGCAGAACATTAGTCTTTTAAATGTGTCTTTTGAGCTCTAAGAAACCTAAATATCTTGGAGGTTGGTTTGTTTGGTGTTTGTTTATTAAGAATCTGGAGAGGCTTAAAATAAGAATGTAAATAAATTATGGTAAAATTTAAATAAAGAATATAGGAAGGCAAGAGCAGGATAAATACAGGTATGCTTGGAAAAACAAGTGAGATTTTCTCTAGGCTGATCTCTTTGTTCCTGTAGTCCTCCTTACAGTGTAGGCCCCTGCCCAGTAAAGCCTGTTTGACAAGCGACAAAGGGTGGTTGGAATGAGCAGGTCATGTGGATTGCCACATTCGGCTTGAAATCCAGAAATTTAAGCAATGCCACTCACAGAAGGCAATAGCCAACACTCAGCCGCCACACATTTATTTCTTCCTGTAATAGGTGTATTTATCATATAGCATAGAACAATCTGAAAAGTTACACTCTCTCATGTGACTGATTTTATACACGGTAGAAAAAAGTGCCCTTTGAGCCAAAATTTAATAGATATTAATTATATAGGAAGTAATGATTTTAAGAAAAATGCCCACAATTAAAAATTAAATTGGGTTTTGTTCATTTCTGGTTCTGCATGGAAGAGCTTAGAAGTCACCACACTGTCCTAACGACAAGTGAAAAGCTGAACAGACTGAAAAAGATCGACTTTTCTTGAGTCCATAAGAGAGGAGAGGACACAGGGCTAACCACTGCCCCAAAGATTGGAGAGACAGACCTGCGAATGCTGGTCGTTAGGGCTTCCCCCAGCAGAGAATCAGGAGTGGAAATGGCCAGGGGAACCAGTGCTGCTGGGGTAGGAAAACCTGAACTGTAGTTGAGGAAATGCTGGCCGCTCAGTGCAGCAACTCTGAGAGTGAAAAACTCTGGGAGGACCCAGTCGCGGAGCCCGGGAGGACTATTTTGTGAGATTTACCTCCACGAGTTTGACCAAGTTCTCACAGTAAAAATGAGGAAAATCCCCTCTTGTTTGCAGCAGGGGGTGGGAAAGGAAGCCTTCTGAAATCCACCAGTTCTTAAGGAGGCCGGCCCTCAGGAGAAACTAGTTAACTAGAGCCAACTTGTTGGGGCATTATCAGAGAGTAACCCCCCAAGGGGAAGGGAAATCCCCAACTCCAGCCCACTCTAGCCATCCTGCACCACCTGAGGGAGGAGGAGAATACTGAGAAACACTTGAGGGAAGTCTGCAGAACAGAGGCCTAGTCTCACTAAAAGGACCTAAAACTGCTGTTAAAAAAATCAAGTATAAAAAAAAATCAAGTGAGTTGCTCTTTGACTGCCCAAACCAGAATCCAACTGTCTTTTTTCCTTCAAAAGGTAATTAAAAATCCTATGGGCAATAGTCTCTTAAGCCCAGGGAATCAATGATTTTTCAAAGGAAGGCTTTTGAATCTCAACAATATTTGAATAAATAAAGAAGAGGTGGAAAAATTATGTTCTTTCTTTTTTTAATAATATAAATGCATTTATTCTACATCTACTACTATTCTGAAGGGAAATGTAAGACAAGACTTTGCATAAATGAGTCTACCTACTTCCTTGAAAACTCTTAGGGTAGTCGTGCTCTGGATTTTCCCCTAGCAGAGAAATTGGCTGATAGAGTTTTCACAAGGCTGCGGCCTAGCCAGATAATGATTGCTATCAAGGAAGAGGGAGTTTGGGGGACATAAATGACAGAAGTTGAAAAATTAAATTACATTAAAAATAAATATAGTCAATTTGAGCTTTGCAAATAATTCAGTTCATGGATTTGATTTACTTTGACGAGAGATCTATTTACTTAGTTTTTAAGAAATGAAGGTTTTTTTTTATTTCCAAATTATAGCTATAGAAATCAAGGGTTGCTTACATTACTCAGCCTTCTAGAAAGTAGCGAATGGTATCAACCATGATGTTTTTAAAATGGAAATCAAAAATTCTTTCTTCCTTCCCTCTCTTGCTCTCTCCCTTCCTTCGTTCATTTCTTCCTTTGTTCCTTTTATTAAATCAGTTTATTTTGATGAATTTATAACTACTGATCTCTGGTTAGAAAAACTAATTTGTGAAATACACGGTTGGTTTAATACACAGTTGGGAAAATGGTTTACTCTGATGTCCTACTTAGTTTTTTACTCGTACTCTCAACTGTTGGTCTACAGTTACATCATGTCTGTGGGGTGCAGGGGTGCAGGTCCCTGGGGAGAGGCCAGAGAGTGAGGCAACTGGATGTAGCCTGGGAAGCTGAAGGAGACTGACTAGTCTTTCTACTCCAGGGCCTTC